CTACCGATTTTGCCAGACCGCCGTCTGATACTGTGTCGCCACCGTCAACGCAGAGTTCTTGGCTGAGTAGTCAGGAGCTTTAAGAGATAAATACATTAGTTCTGTAAAGCATGAAATCGATTATCGTATGACTACAATGTTTTTGAATTAATTTCATATAAATTGTTGCGTTGATTGGAAAGATATTGTAATTTATTATGAATAATATAAGCTCAACGGTTTAAATAAAAAAATTTAACATGTTAGGTGAATTGATAGAATTGCGAATTTTAAGTTCTTTTTTTAAAAATTGTTAATACTGAAGAAGGTCTAATTTATGACCGAAACGTTTATTATCATTATGTATTAAACATTAATAAAATTTAAATTTCACTACCGTTATCTTGCGTTCGTGGTATAAGCCTTTCAAGCATTGTTATAAATATATTATTTTGGCTCGTAGCTTTTGTATTTTAATTTGAATTGAAACAAACAATTTGTGATTAGTTTTAATAAGTGAACTTATATAATTCTGCCACGTGTAATAAATAATAAATTTTATAAAATACACAATGTTCTTCCTCTCACCCCCCACTTTTCTGAACAATTTTATATTGAACTGAAATTTTATATTGAATTAAAGTGACTCTTGTTACTTTCCTTGCGGGAGAACGATACATTATATGTAACTACGAAAAGAGGAAAATTCGTAGTATATTAAATTCTAGAAGAAAATGTAAATTTTTTGGAAAGGTTGTATCTTATTTTTTATCGCGCGCATACGATTTTAACAAAAATACATAAGTCAGTTATGCCTTACAACAAAAAATAACTTACATGATGCTTGCAGTATTGACCATTTGCATTATTTCGTCGATCAGTTGAAATTTATCGGGTGATATTTTAAACCAGTAGTTGAAAATCGACGGTATTTTTTTATATGGAAATATATCATTGCATTGCAGAATGTATTTAACCGGTTCTAAAAGTATCTACACAATAGAAATCAAATAAAACAAATAATAAAATGAAAAGTTAGTGAAATTGAATTAGGAAAAAATAAAAGAGATATGAAAAAATAAAAGAGAAGGCGTTATAGAACTGACCTTGTCCTCCTCCGTATTACCCCTTAACGAATGGTAAAAAGGTATAATCTTTTTCATGTCTGCCATGTCGCACTCTAAATTATAGTGATACGTAGAAAGCTGTACTTTTGATAAATTTAAACCGAATGGTAAACGAGTTGGTAATATTATTTAATTCCTTGCCTTATAATATCGAGTAATGTTCGAATTACGTACCAAATAACTATGTTAAATACGAGCAAAAGTGTGATCCCAAACACGTAGTCGACAAACGTCAACTATAAGTTTACTGAAGAAGTCAAGAGTTGCGACTTTTTAGTTAAATCTGAATGTTGACTAATACTCAAAGAGGTATATACGTATAGAGTGAACTATAGAGTAGGGGAGCCAGCTAAGAATGTGTGAGTGCAGTGTTGCCGCGACGATAATTTAAAACGTACTGACACCTGATGGCAAAATGTAACATCTAGTACACTAGGATCATAAATGTACTAAAAAATGTACCAACAAAAAAGAGAAAAAGCATAAAATAAAATAAGTACAGATATAAATATATACTTATTATTGATTTAAATATGTACATACATATTTCAATCTGTATAATAATGTAATCTTCTTACGGACTCTTCCAAATTCAACAACAAAAAACTCCAAAACCAGGACGAATAAAAGTCAACGTGATAATTAATACGCAATCTTAATTCTTCAATAAAAAAAAATATCTTTTTCTTTTTATTTTCGTGATTCTTTTTATTATCGTGATTTAACCTGACACGTCTTTTCGATTATATTAAGTGTATTAGTCATGTTCCGTTCGAGCTGCGATCAACATGCGTTTTTTAACTTGATACTTTTTAGTGAATATTAATGGGAATTAGTTGATCCGTTGAGACGAATTCCTTTTATGTCTTGGGGTGAGTCACCAGTTTTATTATTAATTTGAAACTTGTTCAATAGAAATATTTATAAGGTAACTTTAATGTTTCGAATAGATGATAACATCAAATCTGCTAATCTGATGGTGATTTTTTCTTTGACATGAAGGGATTGATATTTTGAATTTGTTTTGCTAAAGATGGTTTCAAAGTGAACTGAAACGTACTATTTTTGGAATAAAGAATCTATTTTTTGGATTGAAGAATTAAGATTGTGTATTAATTACCACGCTGACTCTCATTCGCCCTGGCTTTGGAGTTTTTTGTCGTTCAATAAATTTCTGTATATAAATATGCCCTGATAGAAATTTTGTGCAGTTTGACTGAGCACCTAGTTAGTTACTATCTAGTACTACTGATTTCTCTTTATAGTACAAAAATACTACGTAGCAACTGGGCAAAATTAGTTAAAGCAGTTTTACTAGGCAATATCTGGGTCAATTCTGTACAAGAGATTTTGTATCAATACTAAAAATGTAATTGTCCAGTTTTCTACCAGTTATAGTTATGCAGTGCTCATGTCATGTGTATACGCATATATTATTGCGACATGTATACATTTCCGTAGGCGTTCACGACTTTCACATATATTTAATTATTAACAATTTTACATACAACATAAAAATATATTCAGTTATACACGTATCGCAATAATATATGCGTATACACATGACATGAGCACTGCATAACTATAACTGGTAGAAAACTGGACAATTACATTTTTAGTATTGATACAAAATCTCTTGTACAGAATTGACCCAGATATTGCCTAGTAAAACTGCTTTAACTAATTTTGCCCAGTTGCTACGTAGTATTTTTGTACTATAAAGAGAAATCAGTAGTACTAGATAGTAACTAACTGGGTGCTCAGTCAAACTGCACAAATTTCTACCAAGGAGTGATGCAGCGGATAACGTAGAAGATTCATAATTCAGAGGTCCCATCAGGTTCTCGAATCCCACTAAGGTGAATTTTTTAGTACACAATTTGAAGTAGTTAATTTCAAGAATAATTATTATAATTGTCCTAGAAATAAAATTTGTAATCCTTAAATATGAATGTTTTTTTTTTCCGAAAATTAAACTAATGTCAGCTCGGATCCAATCCATTTTCATGAATTTAAAGTACGCACATTAAAAAATTTTTAATCTATTTTAATCCATTCTCGTTTGTTGGGTATAGTTAAGTTAACAAAATTACTTTTTTAAAAAAAGGTAAACAAAAAAGGCGCTAAGAGTGCATGTACCTCCCATAAAAAATCGTTACATAAACTAAAAAAAAAAACGTTACATAAATAATATAATTCGAGTGGTAATATTGTTAATTTTTTATTACAAATTATCCCTCAGTAGTACGTATCCATGTATTAAAAAAAAAATGAAATAAAATCTTTAAAACAGAAAGTTTTATTTAAATACACCACAACGCAAGATGTTCTTCGCTAGAATTTTATATTTCTATCCATTAACAATGAAATAAACGTTTCGGCCTCAAATTAGACCTTCTTCAGAATTAATATTAATCTTCATAGGGGTTTAGAATTTTATACCTGTTTATCTAAAAAGCGCAATATTAAGTTGTGTTTCCCGTTTTACATTATAGGTGATTCACTACACACATATTTTTTAGCTTGTATAAAAAATAATTATCTTACTCTTTATCTATACTTATCATAGTAAAGATAACACGTTTGATAGCTGATCTTTGTTAAATTGAAGATTGACAGAAACTGACGTTTATTTATTGTATTATTAATGTATTTGTTTAACGAGAAAGAATTAAAATTTTAGTACACTGCGGACGCGCCTACAAGCAACAGTTCTATAGTTTCAAGAATATTGTAATATATTATTTACCGGATAATATAAAACATAATTGTACAGATTAATAGTTTATTAGTAATCTAGTGAAACGTTGTTGTAAGATTGTATGTGCTGTTAAAATAATCATTTTTCCTCCTTTTATTAAGTGTTAATTTATATAAAAATATCTACGTTTGCAGTTTAATTTCTCTGCAAAAAATTTATTATTGAAATATTTAAATTTTAAATTACACATTCAAGTGATTATAAAATAAAATGGGTAATTATACATTATATACATAGGATATAATATTTGATACTGTTTTTCTGTGTAATAAAATTCGTAATTAATATCTTTAGGTGGCGGTTCTTCTAGACAACGGGAAGAATCTGTACACAGTGAACAAAAAGAATTACCTAACGGAAACGAATCTACATTCACAACTGTGACACCTACCATCTTTGCTACAAAAGACGAGTTTGTTAGAACCTGGTTTTCATGGAAAAATGATTTCTTTGTTTATTTGAAGAATATTGACAAAGCTGAAGACAAAAAACAAATGTGGGGTTTCATGCTTTTAAATCGTATGGGTCCCATTGGTCAAAAGATTCATAGAACATTTCATTTCTATGGAGAAGATAAAAATACATTGGACATAGACATATTAATTAAGAAATTTGATCTCTATTGCCTATATGGAGATAAAAAAAGAGGCAATGAAGACATCGACAAATATATACATGAATTGACGGTATGTTAATAAAAGTATACACTTATATATAACTATATATTCTTATTACCCTCTAAAACTTTTAGAGTGAATCTTACTCTTAAGAGTGAAATTTCATTCTTAAAGATTGAAATTCAAGCCTCTCTTTTTCAAAACTAGTTAAATTTTCACTCTTTAGACTGACATATTCTACTCCAAAGAATTTAGAGAGTATAGAATAGAATAGAATTTTATTACTTCAACTTACAACGGCCAAGAAAGGACTTGGTTTACAATAAGTACCTTAATCACACTCATCCTTCCACAATACAGAAGATCTGGCACTATTTGACCCTATCTATATTTCTTATTCACTACGCGGCAGATATCTTATTCCTAACTTTCTGCTCGTTCCTAAATATCTGTGCTACTTTAATCTATCCTATCACTGCTCAATATATATCACAGATATATATCACAGTACAAATGCTTTTATCTTATAATATATATATATATACATATATATACATATATATATATACACACAGATCACAAACATTCTATAATATATATACATATCACATAATATAATATATGTATAAATGTATATACACATCAGATATCATAGCATTTCTAACAGTATACCTTACGCAAACTTATTCTACTACATAAAACATATTAACCCATGTCTGTTACCTCAATAGTTCTCTCCTCGTCAATTCTATTTTTCCTAATCAAATTTGGAGAATATACAGGGTGTTTAGAAAATAATGATAAATCTTTCATATAGAGGCAGAATGGATCACTAATCTGAGAAAAAAAGTCCTCTACTATTTTACAATTTTCGCAATACTTAACAAAATATTGATTGCTAAAAATTACCGAAAATTGGTCTTCAATAACTTTTTACTCAAATACTATCAACTTTACAAAAAAAACTGTCAGAAACAAAAATTATTAATTTTCTTCTCATAGAATTTTACGAATGTTTTCAGAATTTTTTATCAACTTTTTAGTACTGCATTTTCTCATTTTTACCAACATAAGAAAATACGGTATTAAAATATTTTGAAAAAAATTCTTAAAGTTCTATGAGAAGAAAATTAATAATTTTTGCCTCTTGCGGTTTTTCTGTAAAGTTGATAGTATTTGAATAAAAAATTATTGAAGACCAATTTTCGGCAATTTTTAGTAATTAAAATTTTATTAACTAATGCGAAAATTACAAAATGGTAGAACGTTTCTTCTCAGTTTAGTCCATTCTGCTCCTATATATGCGAAAGATCTATTATTATTTTCCAAACACCCTGTGTATATATATAAAATCTTGTAGTTATTTGTAAATTTATTTTTGCAGTCCTTTGCTATAGCACAGAATTATATTGATCCTACAAGGATTGTGAAAGACAAAATTATACAAGATATGATTACCCAGCGGTTCACAGGAAAAGCTGCGCTTCTCATAGAAAGTAAAGGAGAAAAATTGATACCATATTTACAATCACTAAATTTATACCATATCGCTCTGTTCTGGAAACAATGTGAAGATTTAATGACACAAAAAATTGACAAAACTCCGAAGCAGAATTTTACCTATGCTAAATCTGCTACAACAAAGTCTACACCAATAGAACAGGATCAAAATCAATGTACAACTATTTGGGGACATCGATGTCAATTATGTTTTCCCAAATTATGTTGTGTCCATTGCAATAAACATAATAGTAAACAGTTCAATTATTACATAGATAATTATAAAGATCAGTACATATATAACTGTACTAAATGCGGAATGAGTCATATTCGATCACGTTGTCCAGCGTACAGTGAACTGTGTATAAAATGCGGCAAGAGGAATCATTTTTCGATGATGTGTCGGGTTCCTTTTATAATAAATTGCTCTAAATGTGGTATGAACCATGCAATATCAAAATGTCCAGCATATGGTCAAATATGTCGTCGTTGTAATAAACTGAATCATTTGGAAGAAAAATGCCGATCAGCCAAGTATGTTTAAACAGATACAAAGCGTCGTCTATTGACAAATTTTGTCAACAAGAAAGTTATAAATTTGATGCAAAATTTTTTATATCTATTATAATATATGTATAATTGTTGGCGACAAACGTCACAAAAAATATAACAGGTTTGTTTACATGATTTGACAGCAGATTAACGGCAGAAAAGGGAAATGTATGATTTTCAAAATTGTGCATTATGATTTTATACCTATATATTTTTAAATATTTATTAAGATTCTTGGAGTAACTGCAGCGGCCATACTGAATTGTGACATCATAAGCGAGAAATGATACGTTAATATTTGTTATATGTTATTTCTAAATAAAAACCATTTGGATAAGACGAAATGATGGGATCGATTTAAAACGTCTGTAAAAATGAGTCAAAGCGCTAACGAGATACTATTAAAGACGGTGTTAATGGAAGTTCGCGCAGGTTAAAATTTAAGTGATTAATGCCGTTTCCATCAATGCAGATTAACTTTAATCTCGATTCAACTTATTAAAAGATGAAGAGTAAGTTGAACCGAGATTAAAGTTAATCTACATTGGTGGAAATGAGTATAAGAGTAAGAAACTAATAATGCGGTACTAATTTCATGATTTTAGATTTATTAGTTTAATTCGGAAACATGTGTATATGTTTAAAATTTAATAATACTCGATTTTTATTAAAAATACTGTAATTTTAATGTTATCATCCGAATTTTTTATTGATAATGTCATCGTTCTTCAATTAGCCTCGGGCCCCCCGGGCCCCATTGATCACGAAAATTTATCTAGGGCGGACGGTCTTTAATAGTTAGTCTGTTTAACTTGCTTACATTTTTTTTACATTTTTTTACACTTAAAATAAGATAGATATATATTTGGCGCTGAAAAGAGAGAAAGCGAAGATGCTGAGTGTAAAAAGTGTATCTCGTCGGAAATATCGGTTATAGACAAACATGATACATTTATTTCTCGACAGGAAATATAAGGAGATTATATTCGTACAACTTATAACTTAACCTTTTTTTATTTGCAAAATTAGTATAATAACTAAGCATATTCAGGCCTATGACGGTCAAAGCTACATCTTTCTTGCCTAAATAATTCCCAGTGAATTATCTATACTTATATACATATATATACATGCATATATATCATATTTTTGTACATTATCATTTTTATTATATTTTGAACAGCATTGATAATTGTATTGTAAATAATTATTATAATTGTAATGTCGAATTGTATAAAGGATAATACAATAAAGAATAATATTAAAAAAGTTATTGCAATTTCATTAGCGAAATATAGTAAAATAATTTATAGACATAAAAATACAAAAATAAATTAAAGATATACTTATCTGCAAAAACGAGCTACTAATAAAAGTAAAATTTGTTAGTAGCTCGTTTGTTTTATGGGTGAGTATTATACTTACAAAGAAAGAGGATCGCCGATAAAATTGGCGGGGGTGGTGGAGGGCCTCTATAACTCGTTTTTGCTAAATTATACCTTAAATTGACAAATATATATGTTTAGAAGAGACTTAATTTATTAAAAGCCTTTATATAATTGCTAATAATTATAGAGATTTTGATACATATTAGTAATTATGTTTGGTAAAAACGGGCTGAAAATTTGCATAAAGAAACATAACTTTGTAATTTTATAAGATATTATAAGACAAAATTCATTAATAAATTAACTTATTTGAATTTTCAGTTTCGTTTATTAAAATTCAACAACTTTTATTTACATATGTAGGAGATGCGAAAGTAAAATTTTTTTCTTCAAGGATCCATTAAACTATCCCTCTTGTGGATAATCTGGGGCTCTATTCTTGAAAAGAAACGTATACGAAAGTCTAGGGAAATACTATAGTATACGTCGCGTATACTGTAGCATTTCCCTAGATTTTCGTATACGTTTCTTTTCAAGAATAGAGCCCCTGCACGCTTCTGTTCTGAGGATTTAGTACAGAGACGAACCACATCTACTTTCGGCGATACGATTTTATCGATAGTATCAGAAAATGTATGTAGTCACGTAGTTCTCAAATATGAAAATGTATGTACTGGCGGTAGTATACGTCACGAAGTACTTTTATATTTTCTGCACGATATCTGTGTTTCTATTAATACTTTACGATTGGTTGAATTTTGTTCCGCTGCCGCATGAACCGCTCAATGTGACATCAGCCTGAGGGTGATGTCCCATGCAGCGGATCGTGCGTAAGCGGATTCACG